TGGCAATTATATATCAGTGTTTCTTGGTGTAATGGACCATACTTCGTCTTCGAGAAATTGTCCTGTGCAAAAATATGTTCTGTTTTCGTAAAAACACCAAAGCGATAGCGTTTGAAGAGTTTATATTGTCAGGAAACATTCACAGGGAAGATAGCGATTGAAAATCCGGGGTAAGCGTTGTTTTTCATTGTTGTTTTACTGAAAAATATTGTTCACTCCTATACAAATACAAACGCCATTTTTAACTACGTTTTGGATATTTAACTTCCTTAAAGCATAGTTAACTTTAACTAATTTTTAACTGCAGTTAAGGCTAACTACACTTTTATACAACCAGCTTAACTACGTGATTAAAGTTAACTCCTTTAAACTACTTTTTAACTGCAGTTAGCGCTAACTACGTTTTTATACAACCGGCCAATACCAACCATTATATCTTTAATTTACTAATATTTTAATGATAGGTTGTTTTTCATCCCTTCCCCTTATTCGCTTATTTGAATATTGTAACCGTTTAAAAATTTGTATACGCTTATATATAAGTTTAATTGCTCCGAAGTTGTTCTGAACAATACAACGAAACGTTAGCCGATAAATTCTATATTTTTGTAAAGTCTTGTCTGAAAGTCATTTGCTGGGCTTTAATTTTTCATTTTTAAATTTACCATACCATTTATTTATTTATTTATTTATTTATTTATTTATTTATTTATTTATGTATTTATTAGCTTTACAATCAATTACAACCAAGTGACAGACGAGTAACAAATTTTCGCATGCAAATAACTTTGCTTTCCTCTTTATTTAAAAATTCTAATATAATAAAAAAAGGTAATCAATATATACACTGAAATTAGATGCAGTCATTTTTCATTATACGCAACGATCAGTTTTTAACGAAAATATAAAGCAAACAATAAATCAATACTTAAAACAAACTTATACCTTCGTGAACAAATGGCGTCTTTGCTCCCCGACTTGCTAAAAAGCAAGTTTTCGGCTTTTTTTGCAAGAAATGTTTGCTATTTCGCTGTCGTCATGCAGTTGTTATAATGCAAATTTTAAAAGTGACCAATCAGTGTTTGCTACTTGTGACAGTCCGCTATAATTTGAGATCAGTGAGCATGACTACCCACTAACCGCGCACGGTAAACGGTGAACCATAGCCATGCGCTCACGATCAGGGGCTTCGGTGGCGCAAGCGTCAGAGCAAGCGCCTTTCACCTCTGAGATTGTGTGTTCAATAACTCGCGACGGACTCATGTGAAAAGGGTCTGTCAACACTCTACCGAAAGTCGTCGGTTTTCTCCGGGTGCTCCGGTTTCCTCGCACAGGGCAAGTTGGCAGGCTGGGTTAGGTTAAACACAGTTAGGAAAAGTAATATCTCAAATGTTGTAAAGATAAATAGTTTAGGGTACGCCACAATTGACATTGTTATTGTTATGTTAAAGTTACAGTACGTCACACATACAATGACGTATTCTGATTGGCACTATTAATATGTTAAAGTAACAGGAAGTACGTCACATCAGACAATGACGTATTTTGATTGACATTCGAACAGTGTTGACAATATAAATAAATTAAGCCCCGCTCGGCGCTTGCGAACATCTGTGATTTCGTGTCGTATAATATATCCTTTATACTAGGAGTTACTATCGCAAGGAAAATGCTGCCGATATGTACATGTAGGATGTGCTACAAAAAGAGCGTTTTTCACTGTATGTATGATTTATTGTCTTACACATCGTCGTTCCTCAGTTACCTTCGTACAATTATATCTTACATCTAATCTTATGAAAAGTATATTTTAATATACTTAACAGTGCGACTTTGATAGTTGACACATAATACAAATGATAAAATGTGAATATTATTGAATGATTTTGTCACTCGTACAACTTTTAATTTGGCTATTCAAACAATTGATTTAAAATAGTTGAATTTATACTTACTGGGATGTTATTGCTTATTGGGATGTTGAAATTATGTTTGTTTTAAATACATTTAATTGATATTCCATAAATTCATTTTGTATGATTTCATTGACCTTGACGTTGTTCAAAATCATTTTGTATTGTATTGAAACTGTATGTCTATGACCTATGTTATGTACTATATTAACCCATTGAGTCGCATTGCACCCTGATGCACCCTACTTTGAACAGTATTTTACTCTGTCTAACGCCAGACGATTTTACTCGTCAAGGGGAGAGTGCTGGCGCTTAATGGGTTAACTGATCTATCTGCCCATGTGTCTAGTTAACCCATTGGGTCGCATTGCACCCTGATGCACCCTACTTTGAACAGTATTTTACTCTGTCTAACGCCAGACGATTTTACTTGTCAAGGGGAGAGTGGTGGCGCTTAATGGGTTAACTGATCTATCTGCCCATGTGTCTAGTTAACCCATTGGGTCGCATTGCACCCTGATGCACCCTACTTTAGTATTTTACTCTGTCTAACGCCAGAGTATTTTACTCTGTCTAACGCCAGACGATTTTACTCGTCAAGGGGAGAGCGCTGGCGCTTAATGGGTTAACACGCCCAAAATCTGTACTAAAACTGCTAATTCTGTTTTGTGATTGGCACAGTTTAATCAAAGAATCCTCCCGTTGAACCAGAGCCTTCACGATATTTCAATTTATTATTAACTGAAGGCTCTGGAATCCAGGATAGCTTGCCATTGAATACAGTGCAATGCTTATATTTCTGAATGAATAAGATCATACTCAGAACAGTCAGAACTGCAAAACTATATTGTTAGAAAGAAGTTGAAGTTGTGAGCATTATTGTGGTAACACAGCCATATGTATATATCAATGTATGTCAGTAGAATCATGTTTATAGGCTTTATATATAACTGAGGCCTTATACAAGTCATATCTTATACAAAAGTCAGTTGATATGCTATATTACATGTAATTGCTGATAAGTCCATATATGCAGACAACAATCCACACTGGGTAGCTCTAGGAATCTTGTTAAGCCTGATTTAACAACATCCCGCGTTTGTTTTTAAACTATAAACATTTAGAAATAGAACGTACCGAACACTATTATATACTCACCGCCTTTGGCTTTGCACATATTAAGTGACATAACAAACAAATAAACTAAAAGTTCATTTGCTTCTTGTATCAGCATAAAGGCATTAATCATTACTGTCGATTTGGTCGGGAATAGATCAGTGATTCAGTGGGTATTATAATTGCCGATATATTCTTGAAATCATTTTGTTTCAATGCCTCTATATCGAAGTTTAATACACTAAAGTGACTAAACAAGTATAAACAGCAGATTTAAATATAAATGCCTTCATGTATTATAAAATATATCACCAGACAGGTAGACAGGGCACACGGCACGACTACATCACTATACGAGAACGAAATAAAGCCATCCTTACCTGAATTATTCAAAATATTGTCGATCATTCTTGCGCCAGAGACACAAAATAACACCGTGCTTTATTTACCCATTCATCTTCACAAATATTACTCGGAATTTTTATGGAAATTCGCATTATTTTATGATTTTTATATTTCTGTCCGTTTATAACAGTCGCCATGTTGTGAACAAACCCCCCCGGGAACAAAAAAATAATATCAAAACAGCTAGTTTTGGCCCGTCCGTGGATGACAGAATGACATAAATCGAGATTGTAGCGGCTATAAACTCGGCGGTCACGTGGTAAGCACACCACGTGTAGAGATTAGTGTGCTGCCGAGCTACGCTCGGCAGCAATTATGTTATTCGTCTTGAGTTTTCTCTTATTTACTGGCGTGGTGGCAGCGGTCCATTACTGAGAATTTCAATATAGTTCTCAAAGAGCTCCAATAAAGTGGAATAGCTCAACAAATACAATCAAAGTCGATAAGAAATTACTCTCAGACAACAAGTCGAAGACGAAGCAGCTTGCATCTGTACATGTAGCTGTTAATACGACACATATTTCGACATATTTACGAACAAGATATGATTACAAGTCGAGCTCCCAAACAGTGGGCCCTGACAAAGCAGGAAACTATCACTTCATACGAAGCCTGGCGCCAAAATCTTCAATACACCCTTGCCTTAGACCACAACTTCGCCGTATTTTTACTCGAAGACACAACATATACGCATGGCTGCGAAAGACTTCTACGGCCCCACTACGTGGTCTCGGAAACGACGGCGAAGACGTTCCAGAAGCCAGCCGACGTACAGCCGCCCAAAAGCTAACTCACTTGGAGTTAATGCTCGGCCAAGTAGCCAATTATTGTCCCGTCATTGCACGAAACACAATCGTTAAGAACTCAACATCTATGAGTACAATTTGGCAAGCAATTCGTGCACATTATGGCTTTCAGTCCACCGGGGCACATTTTCTCGATTTTAATAACCTTCGTTTACAGCCTGACGAGCGCCCTGACGATTTATATCAGCGACTTCTGAGTTTTATCGATGACAATTTACTCACAGCTAATGGTAATATCCGACATCACGGCGAAGACGTTTCCACGGACGAAGAATTAACACCCTCGCTTGAGAACATAATTGTACTGACCTGGTTGCGTTTAATTATACAGATTAGCCCACTTTAGTTAAGCAACGTTACGGGACAGAACTCCGATCACAAACACTAGCCAGCCTCAAACCCGAAATATCTCAAGCTTTAGACGCCCTCCTCGACGAAATTCATTCTTCAAATGAGGCTAATGTTCTACGCACAGCCTTTCGACGATCCTCACAACAGCGTGACAATCGTAGTGCGTCTTCCCAGCCCAGTAACAACAAGGGAGGGGCAACCAAGTGCTG